GATTATAGATTTGAGTGTGGGATATTTTGCCTGATTTTTGTTTCATTGCCTCTTTGTCAATGGAGGCCTGTCAGATGATTTGGGTGAGTATCTTGGGTGAATGTCTTTGTGTTTGCTCAGCAGAGAACAACAGTTGCAATATGTAAATAGGGTGCCTCTTCCCTCTGGATGCCTTGGGATATGTATAATAGATTAAGTTGGCTTTGTGCAGAGCAAACAGGTCTGTATTACCAAGAATATGAATGATGTCGGTTTCCATAATTGCTAACATCTGGCTTTCCATAAATCTGTTAAATTGCATGGAAGCAGAATTAGATTTCTGTGTCATAAGTAAAGCAATTACATGGAACTCTGTAGGCAATATGGTTCTATGTTCAACTGTGAAATCCTTTCATTTGGGAGCAGCAATAGCAAATCCAGGTTTAGTCCCCTGTTTTAATTGCACACACTAGGTATGTTCATCTTTATGCTCAGGTGTCTTAATTCATTAGGGGAAAACACTGCCAAAATGCTTGCAACTTTGTAAATGAAAAAATAGTCAAATGTTTGAAAAGCAGATTATAGTTGGCCATAAACTGCCAATTTAGAGATGATTTTAGAGAAGACCATACGTTAAAGATTCTTTTGTCGCTACTGGTTGGAATCTTGAAAGAACTCTTCTTTCTGAAGTGCTTTGTTAATGGGCCTTCTCTGTCCTTGTTCTCAAGCATTTCACAGGAAACTAGAGTAGAGAGGGAGGACGGAAGGTTGCCTTCCTACTTTAGTGTAGTTACTATTTTGCTATATTTCTTGTACTTTGAACCAGTCTTATGGGCTTTTCCAGATGAAAACTCAATGATACAATGTATTCTCGGAAGCGGAAGGTTGCAGTTATGTCTTATGCTTACTGAATACCCACGAGACCAAATTTTAGTAAAATAGACTTTATAATAATAATGGATTATAAACTTCCTAGATTTAAGTAAGTTAAATCAACACGTTGTTACAACCACAGTGCATTCTGTTGGCACTGAGAAGAGAAAAAGAAAAAAAGATTTAGTCCTCACTCTCAATGAGGTCACTATCTATCTATGGAGATGCATATATTAAATATGTAACTCCTAGGAAATAAATCCCTGGGTAGCATTGTGGATAAAGTACCGAGTCGATAGTGACTGTTTTGCAGAATGAAAAATGATGATACTTGATTTTGAAGACTGCACAGGAATGAAGACAACAGAGGAAGTTAAATGCTTACCTTATCAATTAATTAATTTGTATGCAACCCCTTCCATACAGGCTAAGAAAAAGTAGAGTAGGTATGGAATACTCTAGAAAAGGCATATGCACGGCACACACAGAGGAAACAACATGGACTGATTGTTGGATAAGCCATTGCTTTTGAACAAAAAGGGAGGAGATAAAAGCTAACAATTGAAGTTAGATCAGGGCTTATATGATAGGTTAGGAATTTAGATCTTCTATTACAGATGTCATAGAACCACTGACAGGTGGTAAGCAGAAGAGTGACATGGACAAATTTGCTTTTTAGAACACCACTCCCCTGTGAAAGGTATTTAGAGCAATGATTCTCATCTGGCTGAACAGAGCCCAGATGTCTGGATCCTACTTTACACTAATTAAATCAGTCTTTAGTGGTGGTGAGCCTGGGCAGTAATTTTTAAGGTTCCTCAATTATTTCTGTTGAGGCCACAATCAAAAATCAGAGGATTAGAGTGAGAATTGGTTGGAGTCAGGGAGACTGAATCGGAGGCTAATGCAGTAGTTGGGAACAAGTATGAAGAGCTAGGCTAATACAGAGTTCAGGGAAATCTGAATTTTATTTCTTATGATTACATGTGTGATGAGTCATCAGTTTATCTATCAATTTATGCTCTATCTGTATCTCCTAGATATCCAAACTAGATTGTAAATATGATGAGAGAAGTGTAAGACCAAATATTTTGTCATTTTAAGCAAAAACCGAGGAATGAGAATAATGCAAACATATCATTTTAGTATTCTTCCAAGATAGGATGTACCACCAACATTGTCACTGCAGTGGGAGTTGCTATAAACATTCTTTAAGTCAAGAAACAAATATTTGAATCTTATGTACAGTTTTATTTGAAAAGACCATAAATTAGAGTGCCTGGGTGGCTCAGTCAGTTAAGTACCTGACTCTTGATTTTGGCTCAGGTCATGTTTTCAGGGGCATGAGATTGAGCCCCATGCCGGGCTCCATGTTGAGCATGTGGAGGCTGCTTAAGATTCTTCCTCTTCCTCCCCCTCTGCCTCCCCCTCCCCCTCCGTCTCCCCTCCTCCTCCATCTCCGCCATGCCCCCTGCCTCCCTTATTCCCCCTTTGCATGTGCATGCACATGTTCATAAATAAATAAATAAATAAATAAATAAATAAATAAATAAATAAATAAATAAATAACAATGAATTAGTTGGTTATGATTTTAAAAAGGAGATAAATGTCAGGCTAAATAATGTGACCAAAGACCTACAGAGATGTGTAAAATGCCTTTTACGTAGTAAGCACTCAATTAATTGGAAGAGCATGGTTTTAAACAGGGATCACCTGATTCCCACATTCAATGCTACCGTTAACTGGGAAGAGTTAGAGGAAAAAGACTGGGGAGATGAGAAAGGTCTCTAGGTAGGAGCACCATATGATAAAATGTGTTGAGAATAGCAGGGGCCCCGTGAGGAACAGTGGAAACAGTGAAGACATAACTGAAGTCAGATTATAGTTAATTTGGAATCTAGGTATTATAATCCAGGTTCATTTCCAGTTTTCAAAAGAGAAATCATTAAATATCTTGACCGAGACTACATTTGATAGAACAAACACAAAAAATAAATCTTGGAATAAGTTAGCTTCCAGAAATATTGCATGAACTCTGTAACATTTTCTACTTTTTACCTCTGTTGTGAATCCAGAAACAGTGCATGCAGTAAGGGAAGATAGGTCATTTACTTCTCATTATTTTTAAGTTACAATAGTTTCAAAATTCTAGCAAATTTTGAGTAATTATATCATTCACAGAATTTCAACTAAAGAGGATCCATAAGATCTTATCCTTGAAAATGAGTTGCAATATCTACAGGGTAAATAGTTGAAAGTAGATAAAACCACACAACATTCTTGTATTCTGACTTTAGAGACCTTGAGTTGGCACAGAAAAAAAAAAAAAAAAAAAACCTCTAGTGTATGTGTTAGGCCCAGGGTACATCCCTTGCTCTAACATGGTAGTAGAAGTATGACCATTTATTCATCTCTGTGCCTCACTTTAATCTTTTGTAAATGAGAATAACTATTTCCATCTTGCAGTTACATGGCATAACTCATGGGGAAGCTTTGAAAAGCTTTGAAACAATATGTAAGTACAGATACTAGCAATAAAATTGATATTATGCCTTTAAACACTTGATTGCTTTGAGTATTTTAAAAGAAAATGCCACTTACATTTTTTCTTTAAGCCTGTAACCCTTAACCAAACACCTACAACATTGTACATATTTAACATGAAATTTAGATGTAGAGTAAGTTAATTTATACTGTTCTTATTCTAACTTACTATAGGAGTTAAACCTCCCAATCATGGGGCTCCTGGGTGGTGCAGTTGGTTGAGTGTCTGACTCTTGGTTTCAGGTTGGGTCATCATCTTGGGGTCATGGGATGGAGCCCTGTGACAGCTTCCATGCTCACATAGAGTCTGCTTGGGATTCTCTCCCCTCTTTGTCTCTGCCCCTCCTCCCTCTTTCTCTCTCGCTCAAATAAAGAAATATCATTTAAAAAAAAAACCCTCCAATCAGAGGCCTACCAGTAGTTATCTACATATACTTCTGTGTTCCTTCTTATTACTCACCTTCAGAAGGAGACAGTGTCTTACATGTCATCATCAACATTTGTAATACCTAGTGTGCAAAAAAACTTGTGCGTAGAAGACTTGGTAAAAATTTATTGGCATCATGTTATCATCTGAAGGATAGTTGAAGGACATGGTGGTAGATTAATCAGTGGAGCACAAGACTCAGACAAATGACCAATATCTTTAAATAGAGTAAAGATTGTCATAAGTAAGAAAAATCAACTAGACTTTTCTGGAGTGCTCTCAGAGCTAGCACCAATAAGTAGAAGTTACTGGAAAAATATTTCATTTCCATTTAAGGAAGACATTTCTTAAAGAGTTATTGACTGCCTTTTGAGGTAATAGATGGCCCGCTTAGAAAAGGCTCCAACCAGGACTGGACAGCTATGACTTTGAGATGTTGTTAAGGTCACTCTAGCTTTGAACATCAGGGTAGGCTGACTGGATTTATGCTTTCCTTCCATATTTAGCTATCATTCAAAACCAGCAAAATATATGTGTCTTCCATCAACATGCCTGCCATAGCCCAAAGATGGGTTTTGTTTTGTTCTGTTTTGTTTTTGTGAGAACAAAAATGCTTTTGGCCATCAGTATAGAGAGGATTTGATTAGGCAAGGCACCCCCCAAGAATTATTTCCTCTTCTTTCACCCTTGGCCTAAGGATCTTGAGGCAGTCTAATTGGTTCAGGGTTGTCCTAATTGCCCACTTGTTCCTACTCAGTGGCTGTTCACACCTTTACTAAAAGAGCCAGCTCTCCATAGGGTGTATCCACACTGTTAATGAATTAGCACTATTTATAGCCTCTGGATGGTATAGTTCTTGAGAATATCCTAAAACTAGCTTAGAGCTGCTACTGGATAATTTAGTAATTGGAGTCCCTATAGTAATTAGCTATATGACAGTACGTATTTCACTTCTGTAACCCTCGGCTCCATTATGTGCAAAATAGAGATAAGAAAAGATGCTCCTATACATCTTTGCTTTGCAGAGCAAATGAGGTAATGCGTGTGAACATCTTGGCACGGTACCTGGCACAAGCTAAATGCTCAGCCATGTAAATCAATGCTTTTGTAAATGATCACTATTTTCTATTAACAATCTTGGCTAGATTCTAAAGCTCTGCGCCTTCTTTATTGCAGACATTGATGAATGTGCTTTAAGAACGCATACCTGCTGGAATGATTCTGCTTGCATCAACCTGGCAGGGGGCTTTGACTGCCTCTGTCCCTCGGGGCCCTCCTGCTCTGGTGACTGCCCCCATGAGGGAGGACTGAAGCGCAATGGACAGGTGTGGACCCTGAAAGAAGACAGGTGTTCTGTGTGCTCCTGCAAGGTGAGGCTAGTAGAGGGCAGCAGGAATTGTGACTCTTCTTTTCCTTCCTTCACTCTCTTCTCCTTTTTCTACCAGGTGTTGACTTTTGGGCCTCCTGCAGTCTCTGTAAAGACTTCCCCTGTTCCAATCCCTGGGACAGCTAGTGATGATGCTGAATGGCAGGCAAACTTATTTTGAATTGATCATGCTGTTAGTGAGAAGTGAGGTGTAGAGTTGAGAGGAGACCGCAGAGCACAGAGGGGAGTGGGGCGGAGAAGCCAGTGTTAGTCCTCCCACCAAGAGCCTGCAGTGTCTTTCAGGCTGGTTGAGTGAGAGCTTTAATGAGCCCTCATCCCACACTTATACAAACTTGCTGACTAAAACTACTCTTTGCCTGAAATGATCACCTACATGAACTCGCTCATTTTTGTGGTGACATCACCCAGAAAAGCAAGGCTCACAGACTTTCCTTCTTCCGGTAGTCAGAGACAGGGAGACCTCTATTCTGAACAAATGGTAATGATAGTATGAGGCCTTCTGGTAAATGATATCTTCATTTTCATTCTCATTGCTAGGCTGGCTATTCCTTACATCAAGTTGTTTGGAAAAGTGAGTTTAATGTTTATAAAAATAAAATTTTGTCATCACCCAGTTTTGCTTTATGCTTTGCAAAATGGGCCTATTAAAATGTTTGATTTCCTTGTGCTTTATTTCTTCTTTTGTGGATCTTGCCTATTCATTTTCCTTTGATATTTCTTTACTGTAGCTCTTGCGTTGTATTTTTATGTCTGTTGGGATGGGACTTTTTAATCTTGTGCTTTATGGGCATTGGAGCCACGAGAAGTGACTTGTTTAGCAGCCTCTTTAAGGAGCTGGTATCCTGATAAATCAGAAACAGAGTTGGAAAGTCATTCAATTCGCTCATCTGCCTTCAAGTCTGCCACACTGCCAAAAGACCAGGGGCACCTATTTAGGAAAGCTAAACCAAGTGTTGAGATCATTACCCCATGAAGTGCATTTTTTACCCTATGCGTGCATCTAGTTCCACACATCCAAATATAGGTCCAGTGACCCCATTTACTGAATACCTCCTATGTTCCAAGCATCCTGATTTAAAAACAGCACATCACACTTAATGCTTATAACACAACTTCGAAAGATAAAGCTTTAAGTTTTAGGGCAAGTAATGTGCCCAAAATATCACATGATATAAATATCCAGCCTGGAACTTGAAATCTACTGGCTTACCCCAAATTTCATAGTTTTCTTATCTGGCCACATGTCCTGTAACACTCTACGGATGGATGTCTGTTGATATATTTTAAACTAATTAAACAGTCAATCCAACTTGACTGAGCTCAAACTCTAAACTTAGTACTGTATTAATGACCATGTGGGGTACTGACTCAAAGGGCAAAGTTTTTAGAGAAGGAAAAGGTTATTCTGGTTTAAAATAGTTGAGATTTGTGGAGACAACTAAGTCTCCATTCAGCCAGATAAACAAGAATGAATTCCTTTATTAGTTCATTTCCAGAAAATATTATTTTTTCTCAAACTTAGGAGGATAATCACAACCTGACCCCAAATCCTTTTTAGGCTTTATAGGTCTCCAGTCCCTGGAATAAACAAGAGATTTTAGTTGAGTCCTCACTAGTGTATGAAACCAAAATTTATTTTTCAGTTTTTGTTTTATTTAAGCCCATGGGAAGGAACTTACCAATCACTAAAACTTTCCATAGTTTTTTAATTAATTGTGTTAATAATCTAAGGGGTGTAAGTTGATTTATTTTGACTCCTAAAATCTCTCCAAAATCATTAGAATTAGACTGAAATTGCCATAAAAGATGAACAATTCTTGCAATCCTATAATGTTCACATAACTCACCTCCATTACTACCCCACCCCTTAATGAATAAACTACAGGAAGATTTCTTTACATAAATCTTTTGTTGGTTTCTTTTTCAATTGCATTCATTGCTCATTAACAGCATAGCTTACAGATCTTGTGGAGGGAGAGGAGGGCCTGGATTTAGGAACTAAATTAAAAACCCTAAGTCAAATTCTGTAGGCAATTCCCAAAAAATTGAACTTTTATGTGACCCTGCTTCTTTCTTTCATTATTTACATCTGAAAGTGTTTTATTCCAATTTCACAAGAAATAGCTTCAGCACTTAAGCATCCAAATGGACAATAATGACATCAACTTGGAGGCTAAGAAGTAAAATCCAGATTGGGACATAAATCCTGGGTCTTTAACCATACTCTTGTTTCAAATTCAAATAAAACCAAATCATATAATAGCAGAATTACACAAGCCAACAAAGGGCAAAAGCTTACTGTTAAAAGAAGGAGAGTCAAACAGTCTACAGATTCAACACAATCCCTATCAAAGTATTAATAGTATTTTTCATAAAATTAGAATAAATAATCCTAAAATGTATATGAAACCACAAAAAAATGTACGGAACCACAAGGCAATCTTGAGAAAGAACAAGGCTGGAGTAATCACAATCCCAGATTTCAGATATACCATAAAGCTATATTGATCAAAACAGTATGGTACTGGCACAAGAATAGACATAGGTCAGTGGAATAGAACAGAGAATCCAGAAATAAATCCATACTTAAGTGGTCAATTAATCTACCAAAAAAGAGGCAAAGATATATATGAGTGAAAAGAGAGTCTCTTTGATTTATGGTATTGAAAACAATGAGCAGCTACATGCAAAAGAATAAAATTGGATCACTTTCTTATATCTAACTATCTTATACATAAAAATAAACTCAAAATGGATTAAAGAACTAAATAGGAAGCCTGAAGACATAAAAATCCTAACAGAAAACATAGGTAATAATTTCTTTGCCATCAGCCTTAGTAACATCTTCCCAGACATGTCTGCTCAGGCTAAGAGAAACAAAAGTAAAAACAAACCACTGGGATTATGGTTATTTCTAACAAAATAGCTGGCTTTGGCACAGCAAAGGAAACCAGTAATAAAATGAAAAGGCAGCCTACATACTGGGAAAAGATACTTGCAAATAATATATCTGATAAAGGACTAATATCCAAAATATATAAGTAATTGAGACTAAACACCTATATATATATATATATATATATATATATATAAAAGTAATATCCTATATATATATATATATATATATCCAAATGGCCAGAGTCCTGAAAAGACATTTTTTCAAATAAAACATACAAATGGCCAACAGGCACATAAAAAGATGCTCCATTAATCACTAGGGAAATGCAAATCAAAAACCACAATGAGATATCACCTCATACTAGTCAGAATGGGCAGTATCAAAAAGCTAAGAAATGACAAATGCTGACAAGGATCTGAAGGAAAGGGAACCGTTATGTACTATTGGTGGGAATGTACATTGGTACAACCACTATGGAAAACAGTGTGGAGGGTCTTCAAAAATCAAAAAATAGAAATACCATATAATCTTACAATTCTACTACTGGGTATTAACCCAAAGAAAGTAAAAACACTAATTCAGAAAGATACACACATTCCTGTGTTTATTGCCACATCATTTACAATAGGCAAGTGTCCACCAATAGATGAATGGGTAAAGAATATGTGATATACATATGCACATATGGAATAATGAAATATTAGCCATTAAAGGTAATGGAATCTTGTCATTTACAACAACATGAATTGTCCTAGAGAGTATTATCCTAAGTCAGAGAAAGATAAATACCATTGATTTAACTCATGGAATCTAAAAAACAAATGAACAAAAGAAGAAAAAAAGAATAAACATACTCATAAATACAGAGAACAAACTAAAGGTTGCTGAAGGAGAGGGAGTTGGGTACGTGGGTGAAATAGATATAGGAGATTCAGAGGTGTAACCTTCCAGTTATAAAATAAATAAGATGGAGATGAAAAGTGCAGCATAGGGAATACAGTCAATAATATTGCATGGTGACTAGACTATTGTAGTATTGGATAGTGGTATTGTGGTATTGTGTATATTGAGTAATATATACAAATCAATATATTGTCAAATCAATATATTGTATATGTGAAACCAGTATAACATTGTATGTCAACTATCTATGTTAGCAAATTGAACTTCGACAGAAAATAAATAAATAAAAAACAATGCTTAGGTTATCAGGAAAAAAGGGTGAAGGCAGGATAATGGCATCACGAAATTCTCAGGCAGGTTCAGATAGAGCCACTTTCATTCAATGATGGAAAAAAAAACTAATATGGGATTTAGGCATAGATACTACAAAAATGGGGGTGGAGAGTGAAGGTTAAGAATCCACGCTTGAACAAAATTAGATCACACAACTGAAGAAACATTTAGATAAAACTTTTCTAGCCCTTCAAAGTAAAGCAAGAGCTCAAACAAGATAGGCAAAGAGGCAAGATCATTAAACAAGGAAAAGAGAAGGAAAGTGACTCTTGGAGAATGAGTTGAAAGGAAAAGCTATGCAATATGAAGACTACCTCAGAAGCTTCATCGAATCAAACCTGTACTGCTGCCACGGAGAGGGGAAAACCCATCGATTTTGATGGGGAAAGGTGTAGAAGAAACGTAAGTACATGATGGATATGGAATCTGGCAGTAGCAATGTAACACGCAGTGGGTGCTCCTAAAGAGAACACAATAAATGGAACAAAACAATTTTATAGATAGAAGAACGACTGTGATCTGTACACCAAAAGGATTCACATACTATAACAAACCCAATAGGTTTAAAGCCATCAGGATTAGGGCAAGAGAAGGTCAGCATATCATGGGAACTTTCAGGTTGGCTTCAAACTTTCCTTCAAAGTTCAAGATGCCAAAAGACAGTGGAACAATTATTTGCAGACTATGATGTGGGAAAGCCTGTGAGCTTAAGAACTCACAAATTCTTCTTACATTGTATGCTCTAATTGATGGAATATCTGTTAAAAGAAAAAAATCAAAAAGTTTACGGCTATGAAGAGAAAAATCTATACCAGCAAGAAGTCAGAAACCTCTCAGTCTCATACACA